AGGTTGCTTCTTAACTATCACTTCTAGTCTTGTCTGCTACTAGAAAGTCTGGCAGGCAGGCAGTTAAAAACAGCAAGCTCTTACTGGTTTGGTGATGGCAATGAATTAAAAACCTATTTGGCTGCCTTGTCCCAGGCAATATACTTATAGCATTGGATTATATCAGCAAATGATGAGCAGTCATACGGGTTATTGCTAATTCTCTTTCTGTGGCATGTGGTTTAGTGAAAGATATTTTAAATAGCTTGTGAGACACCAGTGGTCCTCTTGGGCAATTGCAGGAATTTGAGGATGAGCTCCCTTAAATCCCTTTCTTGTATAATCTGCTTTTATTTTTAATTTCTAGTGCTGTTATTCCTGCTGCCAAAAGCTTTGTTGTCACACAGATACCAGAGCTCTTTTGTCCACTCAAAGGGCAAGGCAAACTATTCTTTGGTATTTGCAGAACTATAGCAACGGCCAAAAATTTAAGAGGGGTATTCAGGAGGAGAAGACCAGGAGAGTGAATAAAGTGCACCAGCTGTTACAGTAATCACTGAAAATGTACAGGGCATAGCATCCATTTGGGATCTCTGCAGGTGCTAAACAAAAGTAATAAATTGTGATATAAAACTGTGATGACCAGCATTAATGTCAGGGCTTTCAAACACCAAAGACCAAGCTCGTGTCTGCTGTGTTCAGCTCTGCTTTGCCACACCAGGCCGCGGATAAAAGCCGAAGCGGGGGATGAACACTGTCCTGTGGACAGAAGCCTGGGTGGCCGGGAGGCATCAAGCACTGACTTGGGCATTGAGAATTTGCTTAACAGAAGTGGCTACCATCAAGGCATGCAAAGTCATTAAGACAGCGTCCCAGTCCTGTGCAGTGTGGAGTGATAGTTGGATGCTGGAAAACAGATTTCCTTAAGTGTGATGCAACAGGCAGCGGGATCCACATCCCGGTACTGTCTATCTTGCTTATTGCTGTCACAGGCACAAGTGAAAAAGGGTGTGTCTATGTTTTACAGACAATGTATTGTAAGTGTGATGGCTGGTGGGAGATTCCTATCACTAAGAAAACAAGTTTTCCTTGAAACAAACAATGAATGCACCTCACTGGAAAAGAGCAGTGAATTTACGTCAGGAAACAGGAAGTGGTGAAATACTTCTTGTGTAAGGGCTACAAGAAATCCTCAAGCTACAGCAGGTTCTCACTGTCTTTTTTTCCCAACAGAAATCCAAGGTACCCGTAGTGCAGCTCCAACCAGGAATTCAGTAACTGCCCACCATCACTTGATGAATCCTCTTCTTGTCAGAGCATTTACAGACACCATCCATCCCACCTCTGGATTTTGGGAGGCAGATAGTCTACGCAGTAACATCACTTCAATTTCCTTTCAGGCTCCCAGCAGTTAAAAGCAAGGGTGTGCAGGCAAGTTTGGTACTTAGCACTGTTTCTGGTCATTCAATTCTTTTACACAATTGCATCATGCAACTATTTCACACCCTAAAAATAAACCCAGCTGTTTTTAAAACAATTCATTTGTCCCAGCGTGGGATTGGCCATGGCTTTGTGACTGCTGAAAGGCAGTTTCTCACCTTTTGCAAAAGCTCCCTGTTCTTGCTGAACTCATGGGCTGCTTTTCAAAGGCGTCTGGGAAGAGCAAGTCTTCCTAACTTAGACCCTTTGTCCATCCACCTGTCCTGGCTTCCCATGACATGGGCCCTACCTGCCTGCCTCTGTGGGCCAGCACCCTCATAGCTGGAGAGGCTGAAGTTGCTCAGAAGGTGCTGGAAGGAAGACCAATGCCAGGATGGATGCCTGGTCCCCGTGGCACCTCCAGCATTGCTCTAGCTCAGCTCTGCAAGTGCAGCGGGGACAGAAATGGAAAAGCTCAGAAGAAGCCTCCACTTATGGTACCTTAAACGATGCCCCCGCCCCAGCTTGAGACACTGGGGGTAGGAGTTACCTGCCCCTGCTGGTGCACAGCAGAGCTGGGCCAGCCTTCATGCAGCGTCTGGGCTCGCATGAGGCCGGAGCGGCACTCCCGTGTCATCTCTCCCCAGGGACTGTCCCCAGCCCTGCTCTCCCCGCGGCTGCCACCAGTGTCGAGGACACCCAGGTCACCTTGACCTCAGCCAGGCTCTGACACACAAAGGCTACAAGAAGGAGCAGCCAGTAGCCAGAAACCCATCCACTCCCAGACGCACGTCTCGCCCCCATGACCTTTGTCTGCCGCTGGCTCCCTGGTTCTGTGGCAGCAGGAGCCCAGCTCTGTTTAACTTCTGCTTTGGAGACGGGAGGAGGGACAGAGCCCATTCTGTTCCTCTGGGTTCAGCTGTTTATGTGACCTGGGCAGCCTCTTCACACTTGCAGCTGCAGCATGGTGTGTGTACCCCTTGCTAGCAGCATCCCATCCCTTCCCTGCCCGGCTGCCCTATCCCCTTGGGCATTTTCGGGGGGGTACAAGATCTACAGAGTTCAAAGAACAACAGTACAAACAATAACCCACTCTCATCCACAGCATCTGCCTTTGGTTCCTTCCAAAGATGTATTTCAAAACCTTTTAACACCACTGACGTCAGAGGAGTTTTACAGGAACATCTGTCTGTGTCCTAACGCATCCAGCTGCGCTGCCGCCAGCACCTTCTGTCCTCTCAGGGGTTCCTCCGCCAGCCTTGTCCCATGTCCCATGCTGATAGCTGGAAACTCTGTGGTCTCACTCTCTGTGTTTGTCTGGCTCAGCCGTGGCCCGGGGCGATGGGACAGGGTGACGTGGGGCAGGATGCTCAGCAGGATGCGGGTCCCACCGGGCACAGTCCCGCAGTGCCAAGCAAGGAGAGCAGAGCTGCTCTGGTGAGCCTCACAGGGACAGACACAGCCCAGAGATGGCCACACCAGCCTGTTGTGATGAGTGATGTCTGAGGAAGCCAAGCTCAGGGGTGAGGCAAATGGCCAGACAGAGTTGGCCATGGAAAAGACTGAGTGCGAGGGCTTGGGGTTAAATACAGCTCCCGACCAAACCAAGGAGCACCCACAGAGGTTTTCTGCAGCTCATCATCCTCCCAGCAGTATGGTCCCCGCTTACAGAGCTGGCCTCCAGTGCGGGCAGCCCAGCCTGCATCTCCACCCACAGCACACTCTGCCCACTGCAGGTCTCCCCCCCAGGCCACCTCCCTTGTCTCTCCAAAACTACTCCTTTCCCCTAACCCTATGTGGGAGAGGACTTTGGTGTGAAAAGTCACTGTAATGGCAAAGGGACCACTGCCCTCCTGACTGCCCCATCCCTACAGATACGACCCTACAGAGCAACACCTCCCCAGTTCGGGCAGATTCCCCCCACTCTTCCCCTGTGCCTGGCAAGCCGAGGGTCTCTCCTTTGCAGGAGACCCATGGGAAATGCCAATCCCTAAGATGTCTCCTTATGAATCCCTAAAAAATGTTTCCTTAGAGCTGCCCTTTCTCAGCCCTTCTCTGATGCCCTGCCCAGCCCTATATCATAACTGGGTAGGGCTGGCCAGCATCCAGCTTTCTGTTCCAAACAAGACAGAAAAGCTAAATGGCTCTATTTCTTCACCCCTGTAATTTAGGGAAAGGGAAGCTGCACTCCATGACCACTCTTCAGCCTTTGATGTATTTTGATGTGCCCTGTAGCCTTGCAATTTTTTTCACCACATCATTATAGGATAATACTAAGTGTGTGTTAACATAACAGCTGCTAAAGATGTTTGAAAGGATTGTTTGTCCCTTTGCAAAGGGAAATCCTCCCCCTCCCTGCCATATGCACTTATCGCTCCAGAGATTCATTTTTCTTTTTTGTTTATTTTTCTTTTTTGTTCATTTTCTTTTTTGGCATAATTCTTTTTTGTTTATTTGCTATTTCTGACATTGTGCTGAAAAGGGAGTAGAAAAATTGGCAAAACATATGGAAAGGAGTTTTCTCATGTGACAATAACACAAGACAAGGCAGGACAAGATTGGGATTTAATTTGCCTGTTTTAATATTTTTAACAGATGTGGACCGTAAAAGAAGGGGTAGTATTCATTTGCATGCATCAGTGCCCTTTGGTGATGGGTTAAAGGGGGAATTTTGGCATTGCTTTTATACTGATGTGCCCTCTAGTCAGATTTAATATGCATACATATAAAGCTCACCAAATTCCTTTAGAAGAAAGATTCAAAAAATATTTCTCCAGATTTTCCCTAACTAAATGAGTATATATACTCATTTATGTAGTTTCACAGACACTCAGCTTTCCATCTTGCTTTTTAGAAAAAGGCTTTGAATGTTTTCCACATTTCCCCATTTTATCTTTAAAGTGAAGCCTGTCACCTGTACTGAGATGAGAAGCAGTGTCAATAGGAGCACTTGGCCATGGTCCTGCTCCATGCAGTGGCATTCAGAGGGTTAAAGCAGCCCCCAAAAAATTGGCTTGGCCCTTAGAAATTTTGCTGCAACTAATCATTTGAGAACATTCATGTGACTTCTTTGACATGCCACAGATACAGAAATCTCAGGAATATCCATCTGAAATCCATCTAGATGAACAGGCTGATGCACGTCTCCAATATATACCAAGTTTGTACTCCAAGGGATGCTTTGCACAATGCCAGCTTGGATTTTGCTGGCAAAACCAACCACCTGCTGTTTTACTTCCTGAAAGAAGGAGCCTCTATATAGAGGCACATTTTAAGAAGACTTGCTAATTCTTGTCGTGCAAAGTTTTTATGGCTATTGCAAAATGCAAAACCCAGGACACATTTCAAAATGCTCAGGAGATCTGAGCCAGCTTGTGCCTTGCTGGGAGCCCTGGTGGGAACCACAGAGCTGAAATTGCTTGCAACTGACCCTGCTTCTTAGGAATTGCCACGTTTAGCCAATCACATCTTTGTAAGGGATGAAATAATGAATTGGCCTTGGCTTGACATGTTTTGAGTCCATCCTTCCTCTTACAGCTGCAAAATCCAAGAATTCCAGGAAAATCTCAACATGTGTTGGTCTGAGTTAAGAGGAGGCTCTGCCGGCGTGGAAGGTCAGGAAGGCGTCACTGGCCCAGCCCAAGGGAGCTCTGAGTTGAACAGACTGAGGTGCTCAGGGCTGAGCTCTCTTTCATTCTCTTCAACTAGAAAAACTCTTTTTTTCTCTGTGTAGTTTTTAATTCTTTGGAATTAAAACTCTTTTTTTCTATGTGGCTGTCAGAGAGACACTAGCTGTTCTCGCAAGCAGTTCCATGGTCATGGGTTTGCATGTGCTCAGCAGCTGCAAAAGAATTTGAAGGGAAAGGAAGTGCAAGCGCCAACTAGATTAGAAAATACTTCCATGTTTTTACAATACAACTGGAAGGATGAGGCACCTCCATGCTTCACAGCTGAAGGGTAAGTTGCTCAGTTGCAGAATGTTCCCTCTTCCACTAACAGAAAACTCTTAGTCTGTGGTACCCTCATTAAATATATTTCTAGGGGGATGTTATTGCATGTAACGGTGCTGGGCTCAGTGCTGCTGGCTTCTCCTTGCCCTGCTGCTCCTGGGAAGTAATCGGTATTGCAAACTCTGCAGATGCTTAAAACTCCTCCAAGCCTTTTGCCTTGTTTATTTTTCTTGTCAAAATTAATTTTAATCCCCATTGGTGTTGCAATCCAGCTCACAGTGTGGCCTTACAGTGGTAATTAGGAGGCAGAAAGGATTAATGGCTGCAAAAAGAGGTGGCACAAGCAACCGTGGGCACAGAGAAATGCCTCTACTGATGACTCAGTGGGAGGTGTGAGGAGTTTGGACCATGCCAGGTCCGGGCACCCCGTGACGCAGAGCCACATTCACGCAGTGCAACCTGGAGAGCAAAGTACTCGCTGGGGAGTGGGGGACAGCATTTTGTTAGTTCCCGCTCCGCAAATCCATCCCGAGGCGAGCCTGGGACCGCAGAGCTTCTCTTTGCTTAGGAAGAAATTTGGTTGTGTTGGCCTCAGGGTGAGGTTTTGCAGTATGCTTATTCCAGAGTCACTGCCAGCAGATGATGACAGCAGTGATGCCTTGTCCCCGTCTCCCCACCCCGGCTGCCCCTCCAGCCCCTCTCCAGCAGAGCCCAGGGATGCGGTGGCCGTGCAGCCAGCTGGGCTGGCCGAGCTGCCTGCAAGCAGGCTGCCCTTTGCTTGAGGACCAGAAAGTTTTCTGTTCCATAAGCGGCGTGATCTGAGTCTCCGTGCGGTTGTGTAACCATTAGGTCGGATGCAAACGGCAGGAAGGTGGCCAGGGCTGGGGCGGTGAGGGGGACCATGCCATGGCCACGCCCCCCCAGGGATGCTGGTGGCCACCGTGGTGCGCAGGATGCTGAGGCTGCCCACTGGTGACAGTCCTGTCATCGAAGGGTATTCGGTGCTGGGAGGAGGGTACTTGTGTCGGCTCCTTGCAAACACCGAGTGAGAACAGAAAATAAGGCAAGTTCTGATGGTGACAAACCGGGGCCAGAAAAACACTGTGCCCTTCAGGAGGTAAAGACAACTTGAAAAATTATGTTTATGGGGGAGGGAGGAGGAGGGGAGAGACATCTGTGCTCATTCATTCATGTTTCTACTAGCCTTTATTATATTTAGACTACACTAGATGACACTAGAAGTATTTTGCATCCAATGATGATCTGGGCAGTGGGAGTGCTCTATGACAGCCTTTACAGCTCCTTCTGGCCCAGGTTTCCTTACACACATCTGACACTTTCAATGCAGGTTATGCTGCACTGTCACCCGATGGAGGTGTAACCTTAAATCTTTTTTGTTCGGTTGTTTTGCTTTGTATTTTCTTTGCTAGTGGGCTGTAATCAGACAGGAGCAGAGGGAAATCAAACATCATTAGGCACCGTGAGACCTCTGCCATTTTTGAGCCAACACAGGAAAGTCTTTAATTTCTTTGACAGCTAAATGGGAGAAAACAAAACACAATGTTCCTCGTATTTCTAAACAGTCATTGGAATGTAAAAAGACCAATTCTAAGATGAAAGTATTAATCTTAGAGCTGGTGCTTGAAAAACAGTGGTTCTGTGTTTGACATTTGGAGAAATACTAAATTGGGACATTGTTATATCCTCTTCACGTGCTTTTATCTCATATAGAGGCAGAAAAGCAGAACCAGCTTATTGCTTCTTAGAAAGTCTATCAAGGACGTCAGGTATATGACGTAATTTCTGTAAACTGCTTTAATCTGATCTTTTTTTTTTCTGTAATAGTGATGTTTAATGATCCCTTTGTCTTAACCTGCTTTCCTTTGTCCCTGATCCGAAGGGAAAATTCTTCGAATGAAGGGAGAGGAAGGAAACAAAGCTGGCAGCCTCAGCACCTTGCAGCCGTGCCAGCTTTGTGTCGTTAGACATGAATTAGCTGAGTGGGTCTCTCCCGACATATGAAACCACCATTTTCCTTTTGCAATAACCTGATGAATTCTGCAGGTATTTACCCACACAGAACACTCTCGGGTGTTTATGATGGGAGTTAATTCGGCTGAGGATTGATCAGAAGCTTTAAATGCATGGCTCCCAGCCTTTCCAGTACAAGGGCTGGCCCTGAAATCCTCTTGATATCTGACAGTCATTCTGCAGGACCCATCCCCAAATAAAGTATCACCATGCAAGACAGATCTGTACCTTTTATACTTTAGCACATCTTGTCTTACCGTTGCAGTGGGTTTTTCACTCGGGAGCTTTATTCAGTGCTGTCTCAGTGTCGTGGCTGTAGGTCGTGCTCTGTGCCCAACGCACACTTTCCAGAGCCTGTGCACACCGTGATAAGTACCACGAAATGCTGCCTGTCCTCATGCTCAAGTGGTGCAGAACAGTCCAAGCGGGGCTGCGGTTTCTCATGCAACATCAGCGAGAGGGACGTGCCTTGGCCTTCATTAGAGTGGTTTTAAACCAGATGCCCCAAGGGGAGTGGATTGCTGGGCTGTTGAGATTTGGTCCTTCATTCAGCTGCCAGTTCTGCTCTCTTACCTCTTACATGTTTGGCCTCTGCTTATTTTACCACTTCCTCATAACTCATTCCTGGAAAAAGGAGGGTGGGAACGGAAATACTCCATTACATCTCTCTCCGCCAATTTACATTTCCACAGTGCATATGGTAACGGGCAAGCCAGACTCCTCCTGGGTTTAAGCATCACATACAAATCCTCCCCGATCAGTTAGAACAAACCTGTGCTGTCAACTACCACCGCCGACTGCCACATGAGCAAGGACTAAACCTGTCCAGAGGAGCTTCTGATCAGGAAATCAGATTTTCTAGGGTCTGGAAGAGTCAGTATGTTGGATCGGATTCATCTGCTGGCTGCTGTGACAGTCCTGGGAGTCCTGGAGCAAGGTAGGGACCATTGGATGCACATGCCCAAATACTTGCTGGGTCAGTCTACTGTACCTCCACTGATTTCCTTTCACTTCCATATTTCATTTCTGCTGTTGTACTGGCAATTCTCTGCTTTTCAGACAGTGGACTGGTATCTTGTCTGGGTTTTGAAATGTATTCAACAAAACGAGTGCCTGGGAAGCCCTTCCTCTCAACTGACCTACCTCCTCGGTTCAGGAATTTTTTGGTAGATCTTCTCCTCTGCAAACATATAGAACTTATCTCTTTGAAAAATGGGTTTATAGCAGTTCCTGAGGTTCGTGTAGACGTCAGTGTACAAAGAGCACTGTGGTGTGGAAAGGTGGAAGAACAGGCTGCAGTGGGTCACACGGATCATCTCCTGGCCACAGTCCCGCATTGCATGACAATTTAATTTTGCGTGGCTTATCTGTGGCATCTGTTCCCCCCCCCACTTGCTATGAGGATTTAGAAGGGGAAAAAATTAAAGATGGAAACCCCCTTAAAATTGTCCATAACAACCTGCATCTGAATTGTGTAACAATTTCTATGGATAATAGATGATCTGTTAATTACAGAAGAATAAAGAAGGTATCAGCTGGTGGTATGTGACTGTGTACTCCTGGCTTCACTTTTGCACTGGGTCACTCCTTTTCCTTCTCTGAAACTTAACCCATGACTTCCATCCAGCTTTCTATGTTATGTGGGGGGTTCAGGGTTAGGAGGAGACCGCAGAACTTTTGCCCTTACCTCTGGCAATCTCCTGGCCCCACCATGCCCAAACCAAGGACTGACCACTGCTACTTTTCTCTCCTTTGCTGCAGCCTACTTCTTCCTCCAGGTGATCTATGCTAGGAGAGTGTTTGGCATTTCTCCTCCAAAGATCTCCGGCCCACCTGAATTTGAGAGGATCTTTCGAGCACAGTAAGAAACTCCTCTTACAAGATGCTTTTTAGATCACATGTCTAGTGGCACTGCCCCTCCCCTGCTTTGCCATTTATTTCTCCGGACTGTAATTGAGCAATTATTCACCTCCCTCGGGGTTAAATTAATGGGTTTAAGAATTAGCATCAAGACCACGTTGGCTCGTGAGTCCTAAACACACCAGCCATTGCTGACAGAAATGACACAGAAATCTCTGCTGTAGAGCGTAGGGCTGATAAAGACAAAGTTGTGGGTGCCTGAGACTTAGGCTGGTTTTAGCCAAGCGGTGTCAAAGCCTCAGGCAGCTTCAGCCCTGCTCTGAACCCTCCTCACTGGGAAGGACAAGCTCCCAGAGAGATCTGTGGCTGGTATGGAGATAGCTACAATTCAGCACCTCTGTCATGTTTTCTGTGCTAGGGCTGCAGTGAGGAGGGAAGCAGAGAGGGAGGAAGCTTCCACTTTTGCTTTAGCTGAGCACTGAAAAAGAAAACCAACCAGGCAGCAGGAGCAGGATCCCCTCAGCCATCCCCTTCTCTGGTCTTTTGCCAGCCTAGAATTAGCCTCATCCAGTGCCTCTTTGTCCTGCTTTGTCTTTGGGGGGACAGGGCATGGCATACAAACAATACAAACAACTTAGTGCTCCCTCCTACTCCTGCTAGAAGCCCAGGCTGCTCCAGCCTTATCTGCTTCAGATGCAACTCATCCTCAACATGTCTGCAGCCTGCTGGGACAGACCTTCCTTGAGGCTTTGGGGCTTTTACAGCAGGGTTTAAGCTGCAGCACTTGAGAAGGTGCAGTGGCAGTGGTTCACGGAGCCCTTCTACACATAGTCTGACCTGGGCATCTTTTACTTAATTTCTTGTGCCCTGGAGACCCTGTTCCCACCATTGGTTAATTCCTGTGATTAAAGATGGGATGGGAACTGTGGGGAAAGGTGCAAGCCTGGAGGCTTTTTATGGTGACATCAGCTCTAAAAAACAGCCTCCAGCCTATGATAACTGCTAGGGGAAGCAAAAGAGGAAGATATTCCTCCTTTCCCTTGTTTATGACCTTCCTCTTTCCTTCCAGGGTGAACTCCTCTGAGTATTTTCCCATTTTCCTGGCACTTCTGTGGCAGGCTGGACTCTTCTTCCATCAAGGTGAGAATAGCATGTTACCTGGTTTGTCACTAGATCTGTTCCCCTGAGTGTTGGCTCAGTCCTCAGGTCCTGCTCACCTTCCAAGCAGCAAATTAGGCAGTAATTCTGTCCGATAGGAGGGTAGAGCCAGAGGACACAAATCCTCTGTCCCTTCACTCTGGGCTACCTGCTTGGCTCAGAGTAGCTCTAAAAAGCCTTTGGAGATGGTTGCTGTGATCTGTCAACTGCAGGTCTGGCCGCAGCCTTGGGTCTGCTCTACCTCTACGCCCGCTACTGCTACTTTATGGGATACAGGGCATCTTCCTCAAAAAGGTAAGCACCTCTGCCAGCCTGGAATACATGGTAACCCCTGGGGGGTTGCATCTGGGATCATAATGTACTTTGGAGAAAATCAGGATTCCCTCTGGGTGTTTCGGGGTCCCTGTGTGACTGAGCCTTGCCAGGCTCTCACTGGGGCATAACGTGGGCATGGGTACAGGGCTGGGGCCAGAGACACGGGTACGGGGCGAGGCTGGAGCAGCCCTGAGCCCTTGTGGGTGGGTGTGTGATCACCTGAGGCGGAAGCAGGGCACAGGACCCCAGCAGGGGAGAGGGGACAGCCAGGGACTGCCTTTCCACTCACATTCTGCAGAGAGAAAAGGACTGTTCCCGGCCGAGGGCAGCAATGCTTGGTCTCAGCAGGGTCCCTCTCTCCCGCCAGGCTCGCCCCAATATACTTGAGCACTGGAGTTCTCTGGATTCTCACTGCAGCGTCAGCCCTGGGCATCTTGCACTTCTTCCTCTCTCACTACTTGGGGCTGAATGTCCTCCTGCTTCTCACAGTGTGACCTGCTGCTCTGTCCCTCATCGGTGTCCTTGCCTTCAAGTCCTGCTCCCTCCTACCCACAGTAATAGACTGGATGTACCTAATACAGCCCCCAGTGACAAAGGCACCCTCATGTGAGATTTTAACAAAAAAAATGAGGTTTTAACAGCTCCCTCCCCACTGTCCAGCGCTGGCATGAACTGCAAAGCTCTTCAGGTGGTATTTTTCCCCCTTTGCGGGCCAAGTGCTCTGTATGTGGCAGTTCTGCCTTGCCTGATGTGGAAACGACAGCTCTCCAAAACAAGGAGAATTTTCGGAAAACCGGACACAGAAAAGCAAACTGATATCGGCCTGAACTTTCCGGTGAGTTGGCCTCAGGAACTGCCATGTGTTCCCCTTCCTCCAGAGGCTCTGCCCTCCTCTCAGGCACCATCCATGGGTTCATGCCAGTTTTCTAAGGTCCACAACTAAACAAGGCATTTGCTTGAAACCAGATGTGGGTTGAGGCATAACAAAAGAGGCAAGAGATAAACAGGAGCAGCCATCAACATGTTGTGCTAAGTCTATTAGTGCCTTCATAATGGTTATTAGTCATTGCCTGCGGGCAATATTGTAAATCAGACTGACCAAACTCATAACCACTACTGCATGTATAACTCTGAATGCTGACGAGCAACAATATGCATGAATAAAAAGGCACTGAGCTTGCTGTGCCGGATGTCTCCTTGTGGGTCTGCAGCTAGCAGAGAACAAAAACCTGGGTGTTTGAGCACAAAGCAGCTGCCTCTGTTTCCCTGCCGTGGAGTGCAGCGCAGCCTGCACCCCTACGTCCCACCGGAGGAGAGCTTTCAGTAGGGAGCTGATTTTCAAGGTGCTGAGCTCCCGGATTGGGGGCTGAGCCACTCAGCACCAAACAGTGGTCCCTGCTGGGTGGTTTGCCCGGTGCTCGGGTCCCCCTCTGGGCTTGGCCCCCCTGCAGCAGGACCGGCTGGGTTTTCATGGGAGCTCAGCATTCACAATGATTATGCTTTTGGCCGTTGGTCCACTGATGTTAGCAGCACAGCTCAGAAAAAAACAGCAGTGCTCCATGCCATCATCACAGGGGGATATCACACCAAACCCAGAGAGCAAAAATAACTGCATGAACATGCTGCCAGTCTAGCCACATTTTAAAGCCCACTGTCCTCCCCTCTCATCCCCAGCAGTAGGCATATCTAGGCTGCAAAACAAAAGGCAGGGTTTTTTGGAAGAAGTGGTTAATATTTCACATTGTTTCATTTCCTTCCATGCATTTTAAATTGGCTTACCCATCAAAGCCCCCGGTCTGTTTCCCTTTCAGGCTCTCCTGCCTTGGAGTTGTGCTGCCTCCTTGAAATTGGCAAACACTGCAGAGGAAGACTTAAATCCAAACAAAAATAACTGCACAGCACTTTCTTCTGCAAAGTTTTCAGTGCAGCAGGGCCCATCCTCACAGGAACCCCCAGGTGTCACAGCAAAATAACAACAAACTAACTTTTTTTTCTAGCAGCTCTGGTAATACACCTTGGAAAAGGCTGAGTGTTACTTAACCCCAGATGTGCCTTAGCAAGGCCAGGGAGGAACACACATCACCTACCCCCAGTGAGATTTTACTTAGCCTTTATATTACCATGTCCAACCATCTCCTGAAGTTAATTCTCAGTCCTCACCTTTTTACCAGCATAACCAGTCACCTCTCAGAGGGTTAATACAGAAGGCCCAGCCCCAGCTGCTGTTGCAGGTCCTGGCTCTGTGTCAAAACCCTACTGCCTCAGGTTTGTCCAAGCAGGTACTCACTGGTTCTGCAGACATAACCTCCATCTTTGACCCTGCAACCAGTTTTCTAACCCTGGCCGTACTGGTCCAGAGCCCCTGCCCACCTCAACCCATTTTATCTCTGCTCTGTGTGTGACAGGGCTGCAGAATGACTCAGAGGAGGGAAGTTAATGATTCAGCAGCAAGACTGTAGCAAGCTGGCTTCTCCCCTTGCACACATAGAGGACCATTAAAAATCCTGGTGCAGCGCAGCCAGGCTCTGGCCTCAGCTGCCTGCCGTCACTAGTTCTGCCACAGAAAAACTGCTCGGGACATCAGCCCCTCCAAACAATTGTCAGAGGGGTTGTTTCAGGTGTCTCTAGCAGAAGGAAATCTCCTCCCGTCTGCCCAGGGATGCTGTCCTTACTCTGCTACTTCATAACTGTCATCAAAGAAAATTGCTTTGCACCAGGCCATGGTTCAACGATGCAGTTAATGGTTTCAGGATTTACCCAATTCAAAACACTGCCGCCGCATGGCATGTTGCACTGGTGCTATATGAAACCACTCTGCCCACTTGCATCTGCTGCAGAGATGCTGCTGAGGAGCCAGGTTTGGGCTGGCTGGGTGGGACAGGGTCTGCCCCTGACACCCCACGGTTACGTGGCTCTGGGGTCACAATCCGGCTGGTGTGAAGACTGCCCCGTGAGCTCCAGTTTAACAGCAACCCAAGGGTCCGGCAGCACTGGTACCACTGCACAGCCGAGCAGCAGCATCCCCTCTTCCACTGCTCCAGGGAAGTGGGGATGCTGCTCCCCAGGGATTTGTGTCCTGGCTTAATTTTCTTCTGGTCTGCTGAGCTAAGGTGATTGAGGGAAGAGCCTTGGGGGGGGGGGGTGCTGAGGAGCTCCAGGCTGTCCCTGAGGCCGCCCGTACGTTCCCAGGCCCTTCCCCGGCTCCGCCGCTGCTCGGGAGAGGGCGCCGGTGCGACGCGGCTGCGGGGGAGCGGAGGGGGGGAGCGGCGGGACCGGGGGGGTTCGGGGGGTGCTTGAGAGGGGCCGGCAGCCAGCTGCTCCGGGCCCGCCGCCAGTGCCAGGGGCATCGTTCACTGCACCCCAAGAGGTGCCCAGGGCATCACTGGCTGCACCCCAACGCCACGGCGGCCCCCATGCACAAACTCTCCTGCTTCAAGTTTCCTCTGTTCTGGGCCAGGCCCTGGTATTAAGGTTACTGGGGTCGGGGGAATCCTGAGGCCTCGCTGAAATCTCCTGGAGACAGCTTACGACACACATCTGAGCCCCCTGCAAGCACTTTACGGATTCCTGAGCTCCTTCCTGCTTCCTCCTCTTAAGGCTGCCAGTTCAGTGTCAGCAACAGAGAAGAACGTGTTTGGTGTTTGATATTTGGAAACAAATCTGCTCTGATACTGCCACAGCCTCCCAGGTGAAGCAGCCAGCCAGACAGGAGGCCAGCAGAGAGCAAAGGAAACCTGCAGAACCAGCAAGAACTTTTTTTTTAATCAAGAAATTCAGAGGCTGAACTTGTAAACAAGCCTCTGTCCCCTGCTGGAGCTTGTTCCCGCAGGAGCAAATGAGTGACGATGGAAGTGAACAGCTCTGTCCCACCAACGGAGCAACTGCCATCGGCTGCAGGGATCACCGGTGCACGCGTTCCCATTTCTGTGTTTGCAGGAACCTAGCCAGGTTCCTGTAAGGCTCTAGTACCAGGTTGCAGAAGTTTGTAGCTTATTTTTATCTTGAAAACTTCAAGGGCGCCCACGTGTACTTCCCTACACGTCGTGTGATGGCCCGTGCAGGACACGTGTACGGATGGGTCTGGTGCACAGGCAATGGCGGGTTTACACATGGCCCCCCAGCACCAAAATGCTCTGCCCTGGGACTGGGGAAAAACTGCATCCATGCATGTGAAAGAGGCAAGGAAGAGCAGCCCAGTTCTTCCAGAGCATGGCTTGGTGGGTCAGACAGCACACCCTTGAAGTTCCCCGGGAAGCAGCACTACTAACTTTCTTTGGGAGTGTGTTTGGGAGAGGAAAGGCCTGTGGGGCTGGGAGAGGAGGGTGCAGCTGGTGGCCCTGTCTTTGTGGCACTGGCATGTCACCCAGGTTTCCATAGCATCAGCATCCATAACACGGGGCCAAGGGGAGGAAAAGAAGTAGGTCAGACTGGGCTAACAATACCCAGACGTGTCTATCTACGGCTCAGCCTGATCTGGGAAAGGGGGTGAAGTGGAGGAGAAAGGGAGAGGGAAAAGAGGAAAAAAAAAAAGAAAAAAAAGGAGAACACAAAGTGTCCATAGTTTGAGCAATGCATTTCTTTCCCTCAGAAAACCAGGACATTTTAAAGCCACCTTTGTGTATCAGTACTGAGAGACCGAGACTAGCACCCACCTCCTGCCCATCTGACAACAGACTACAAGGGAATTCAAATGCTAATTTGGAGCCAGATTTCTCAATGGGTCTTTATTTCTGCAGCAGCTCCAGGATCAGAGCTCTGGGGAACCAGCCGGCTGGAGCTGTGAGGATGCTAGTCTCTAAACCAGTACTGTGGGATGCTTTTCCTTCCCCTCTCCATTCCTCATCCTGATTTTGTTACCCTCTTGTCTTAGTTTTACTTGTTTATGTTCAACTTCAAGGGCAAGGAAAAGAAAGGCAGGCATACTGGAGTTGTGTAACTGAAATAACCGTGGTAGTGACCCATTTTATGTGCTGAGTCTGCAGAGGCCTCACTGTCAACATTTTGGTGCTTGCTGCTCACAGGACGGTCGTTTTGAACTATGTATCTGCCAATGCCAAATCTGAGAAGAACATTATGGGCAGTAAGATCCCGAACCCTCTGGATCTGAGTAAACATATGGACACACAGATCTGCTGCGTGTGCAACAGAACAAGATCAGAGGTAGGAGTGCTTTGCCTGGGGGAATTGGAGGCGCAACGGCACAGCCCTCACTGGAGAGACTGAGAAGAACTGGGATGAAAAGCGTGACTGTGGCTGACCTGTGTCATACCCCTGGTTTGAGAGCAGCCTGTTTGGCTTGAATGCTGCACTGTTGCAAAAGAGATGCAGCCGTGGATGGAGGCGCAGAGTGCTCCAGACAGGCCTGTGACAGCAGGACCCTTTGCCCGCAGGTAAATACTCCATTACATTACCACAGACCACAGCCCTGTGCAGTAAAACCCATTCCTGGATTAGACAGTGGAGTAAAACCCAAGCAAAACCAAAGCTATCTGCCACTTCGTATGTTAGCAGGTCAAGAGAGGGAGGCCAGGAAAATCCACACTCTAAGGTTACAATTTGCCTCATTCTTCATTCATTTTATACCTCCCAGCAATTATTGCTGGTCAGAGAGCACCAAGAATTCACCTTTCCCCTGGTGAGGGCAGAGCTGCAGCATATACAAAGTGGACAAGGCTTAACATGCCCTTTTGTGAAGGCCCACTCTCCAAAGGAAAACTTACACATTTGCTGTAGGTAGACGCTTAGCAAAGAGCGTGCCCAACTCTGTGTTCAGGGATTTCCAGGATCTAAGAGATAAAAGTTAGGTAGGAGGAACAAAAGTAGGGTCAGATCTCAAGAGGAGTCACAGAGCACTCCTGGAGTGAGAGAAGAAAAGAGAGATTTGCACCAGCAGGGTGTGTAGCAGCTGCGTTGCTTTGACATTGCACTACTTGACATGAGAAAGCTGGGTGACCCCAAAGAGCTAAGGCATCGTTATCTGCAAGGGGTGGAAGTCACGGATCATCATGTCAGCAAGGATGAAACCACTGAGCTGCTGTGGTCACTGCTCCTGAGCCTGTAGCTGGTGAGAGGCTAAAATAGGCTCCATCTCATAAACATGGGTGGCTAGAGTAACAAGAGCTCTGTCCTGATACAGATACTGCAGCACACTCTCCCAAGACTGGACTCGGTCACCCCACTGTATTTACAGCTCATTTTCCTTCTGGGAGGGCATAAGAAAATGCAGTCAAGGCTTTTTGCAAGGGATGCAAATGGAGACGTGCCCACCTCTCTCCTGGCGAGTACATGGCTGAACTGCCAAAGAGCTGTAAGTGTTCTTCTGCCTGAGCGAAGAAACCTCCAAGAGCAGCCTGATGAGCTCAGTACAGCACTGCACGGCCAGATGGCTTCTGGATCAGAGCTGACTCATGCCCACCTAGCTCAGAGTCAGGCAAAACATACAGATACCTAAAGTATGCTGGTAGAAGGCACCCCTTCTACCGCTGTTAACTGCATTCACAGCAAGGTAGCTAGCTGTATTGGTGAAAAGCAAAAAGTATTCTGCCAAACTGCTGTAATTATAATGCTGCAGAACTGAAATGGTAACAGGCCTGAGTTACACTAATGAACAGAAAAGCATCAGACAGGTCAACTCCCAACTGAGCCCCAAGAGGATGTGATCACTGAGGGAGCAGAACAGAGTCAATTCTTCCATTTTTGCTGTGACAAAGGATGCTGAAAGTAAGCTGTGGATAAGCTGGTGGTATAAAGGGAAGGGTGATAGATTCAAACAGTACAGCAGTGGCCTCAGACAGGAGGAGGGACTTGTGCATTTGCTTTTCACTAAAGCAGTGTCTATTTTTCCAGGCTGGCTTGGCTTCTTGGTAAACTACAGATTGGAAAAGCTGGGAAACATGAGCTCTGCCCGGTCTCTGCTGCAGACCACCATTTTCAGAGTAATGATTAAAGATAAAAAAGGTGAAAAGGAAGAAAATAAAGGTGAACTGTAACCAAAAAGCCCCTTAAATTGACTGAAGCAGAAATGGAGACTGCTTTAGCAAAGCTGTGAATTGGCAGCATTAGCAGGTGATGAACGTGGCCATGTTATCTAATATGGTAGAACACACATCATGCATATTTAATAGCATTGTTTAGCTTGTATTTGTCACAGCATTACAGCTAGAGGCTGTTTCTAAAGCCATGGGTAGCAACAGAGAGGTTATAATTGAATTCTAGGGCTTTTGACTGGAGGTCACACATACAGACAAACATACAAAGCACTGATAGTATAAGACTTCTGTGCGTTCCCTGTTTTCAGACCTTGAATGATAAAGCAAGTCAGCTGCTAGAAGTATTTGCTGAGCGTTCATCATGTTTGCAGATTAACTCTAAGATCCTAAATTATACATGCTTATATGCAAATGTGAGGAACATGCAACACACGTAGCTGAGACACGAAGGATGAAGCTTATGGTGGAGGCAGAAGAACAAATGGATAATATCTAGCTAGGAAAGAGAGAAAGGGAAGGCGCATACAGCAATGGGGTCAGGAGGACAGGCAATGAGTTGTGTCATCTTTCCAGAGCAGGTATTTAAACTCTGATCACTGTTCTCCCTGAAATGGCAAATGCTGACCCGTAAAAGAATTAATGGTAATTATTTTTTGTATTGCAATAGTATCTCCAAAACCTACTCAGAAATCAGCATCTGCATCACTTCCAGACATGTGAAGTGTCTCCATATGCTTAGATGCCTATAAAACCCTTGCACCAGAGCTGCAGATTTTCTCCATTATTTTCTTGCCCAGGAAAGAAACTTAAGCAAGCTAACAGAGATTTATGACTAGTACCAAACAGAAATGTCCTGAGTAGGTAGCAGGCTTCAAGGAAGAGCTTTAGTTTGTTCCAGCTTAACATTTAACATGTCTACTCAGCTTCATGCATCTCTCTTCAGGTTGGACTAGTGCTTATGCTGTCCTGGTGCAGCTCTCGGCTCCTAGTCCCACTCACCATCAACTTTGAGGGAACGGGGGATGTTGCACAGGGGCTGTGTGACTATCTGGCAGATCATTTCTCCAGTAGATTTCTACTCAGGAGGCTACCTCTCTGCCCATTTTCTATCAGATAGGCTACAAAACCCATCAGGCTGAGCTCATCTTAGATTACAGCCCTTCCCAGGCTGACTTGAAGGAGACAAAATTTATCTTCTGGGAATACAAGTGGGAAAACAAAAGCAGATCCTCTCCCCAGCAGTCTGGGCAGCAGGTGGGCCTTTTCCCTTTGCAGGAACAGGCCAGTGAAATTCTGAAGTAGAACAAAGCCCTTTCGGATTAAAACAAGTAACTGAAGCTGCAGCTTGAGTTGCTGACACAGACAGCTCAGCTGTGTCTGCTGGAGAGGAAGGTACAGATGTCAGGCTGCCACCATAAAACAAAAAAGCCAGGTAAACTGATGACTGAGTCCTAGAAGAAAACACGGAAGCCGGAAGCAAGACCTAGAAGTTTACATATGTAAAATACATACACAGTTGTTTCTTTCATCAAGAAACATAATACAATCCTGAATCAGATGTTTCCAGCAAGATTTTTATCCCCTATCTCATTCATTGTGAGTGCTCACGTACCATGGGACTACCCTTACTTGCAGCAGCACTTAAAAGAGATGACCTCTCAGGAAAAAGGGCCACTGCTGTTAACAATAACTCCACTTGAATTGTTAATTATTTTCATCTTTCAAATACCACATATACCTGGGCTAATTGTAACTATTTAGGTCTTTGTGTGCCTCTGCTGTTCAGTCACATTCTTCCCCTAGAAGTGGCTCTACCTGACTTCCTGCTGGATGTGTCAAGTTTCAAGTCAGGCAGGTCTTTTGCCTATGCTTAATAGCAATTACATATTTGCAAAAAAGTCATATGACCTTTCTTCTAACACTGGAAAAATATGCATGCAGCAGAACTTCTTGCCGGTATGAACACAGGATGATTTTAATTTCCTAAGAGACCTCTAATGTCAGAATTCTGTTTGACTATAATAAATATACAATCAAGAATATATTGGGCAAAACGGGCTTTATTTATCACTGAAAATCAGACAGCAAGAAAACAGCCCGTACAGCCCACTTCAAAGCCAGGAAGTCATGTGGATCTGTGGATCACGATGTGTAAACAACAGAGAACCTATTTTCCATCATTATTCAAATGCAGGAATGGGGACTAAGACCAATCAGACTAATAAAATGACACATCCTAAATGTATTCCAGTGTATGATTATTAATACTCATTAGAAGACAAAAATGATCATTAACTGTCAGAAATACAAAGGCTTCAACAGGGATTAGCAAAGGGATTTGTTTTACACTAACCACTCGGTCAGAAACAAAAGCTGTGAATAGATGCCACACCTCCACAGTCCTAAAGTCACCACTTATCTGTTCAATTGCACTGGCTCCCTTACAGGTATTTTAATCTAACGTTGTTTTAGCTAATGATTCCTTATAACAGTACTTTGCAGAGGGAATTGCTCTGGTTAGGCATCAAACGATTGGACTTCAGGGTGCATGTGAAAGAGTGGCCATTTCGTATCCCCCTGCCAGGTCACTTGCTGATTTCCAATCAGAGATCCACCAAATCAACCTGCCTGCACAAACAAACAGTCACTCTGGAAGTACGCTCTGGAAAGGTCAGGGTTGGCAGGTTTTCAGGCGCTGCGGTTACTATCCCCATTGTTCGCGTTTCCGCGCCAGGCCTCGCAAAAAAAAAAAAAAAAAAGGCGTCATTCGGGCGGTGCGAGGGCAGCCCGAGGAAGCCTTTCCCTGCAGCCCAGGCCGCGGCCTGCTCGGCCGCCATCTCGGCGCAGGGGCCTCCCCCTGCCCGGCCGTGGGGGGCCCCTCGCTACTTCCTCCGCTGCCTCCAGTGCTTGGCAGCGCGGCCTGACCCCCTCCCGCTCCAACCCCTCACGGCGGAGGGGCTGCGGCCTGCTCCCCGCGGGACCGGCCCGACCAGGCCGCTCGTCCTTCCTCTTCCCCCCCCCCCACCGTGCCCCGCCGCGGCGGGAGGCGGAGCCCAGCCCACCTGAGGGCGGCGGGCGCTACTGCAGTGCGCGGAGCCGCCGGTTCCCCCGCTGAGCCGCCGGAGCCCTGCCGTGAGCGGGGGGTGCGTGTGTGCGCTTGGGGAAGGTGGAGGGGGTGAACGGTGGACAAAGCCGCCGCCATGTTTGGGGTTTGGGTAGAAAAACAGGCGAGGCGGGTCCTCAACCGCGGGCGGGAGCGGGTGGGTGAACTGGTTGGTTGACCGCGGCCCACCGGGCCGGTGCGCGGGGCTTCGCCGCCCTCAGCCGCCGGCCATGGCCGGTGTGGGACCCCCAACCCCTCACAGGGCGCCCGCGGGAGCGCGCGCGCGCGCGCACACCCCCCCCCCCCCCCCACCCTTCCCGGTGCGCGCCCGCCCGCCGAGCGCGAGGCCGCCGGACGTGACTGGCTGGTTTTTAACTCGTCACGTTGCGATTGGCTGGCGGCCGGGGGGAGGGGGCGAGGCGGGCGGCGCGTGACGGCGGGGCGCTGCGCAGCGCGGCCGCGCGGGTATTTATAGGCGCGCGCGCGGGGGGCGCTGCGCAGCCGGAGCTGAGCGGGCGGGTCAGCGGCGGGCCGGGCCTGGGTCGGCGGTTTCCTCGCGCCTCATTCCCCCCTCCCCCCCATCCTCCTCCACACCGGGAGTCGGGAAATAAGCGACCGAAAAGCTTCGATCCGCTGGAGCGTTCCTGCGGCGGCCGCTGCTGAGCTTTTGTTTCCGTTTTCCGCAGCGCCCGAGCGCCCCCCCCCCTTTCCCACAGTACGAGCTTTGTCTTCCCTCGGCCCGTGTGGGGAAGGCGCGGCCAAGATGGACCCTTGTCACACCGAGGAGACCGAGGGCGAGATCCCCGGCTTGGGTAAGGCCCGTTGGCGGGGGGTGGGGAGGCGGTGGCGGGGGGGGTGGGGTGGGGCGGGCAGGCCGGCCGTTGCGGGTGGGGGGAGGGGCGGCCAGTCCCGCCCGATCCGGGGCCGCTGAGCCCTCGCCTCGGTGCCTGGGGACGGTGGGAACCGCGCACCCGCGTTATCGGCGCGGCCGCGGGCTGAGGGGCGGCCATGGCGGCGGGGGCACGGCCCGGTGCGGCCGCGTGCGCCGCTCCCTTCCCCTCCCCTCCCCCCCCCCCCCCCCGCCGCCGCGTGCGTCGTGGCGGCCGCGGCGCTCGGCGGGGGCGGGAGCAGTGGCGGGGCGGCTGCTGGCCTGCCTCGGCCCCCGGGGAGAGGGCTGGCGGCTTCCCCCCCCCCCCCCAAACCTGCCGTTACCGGGGTGGGGGGGGTTTGTTTACTCCCGGGGAAGGTCGTAAACAAGAAACGTGTAAATCGCAGTTTATTGCAGGTGGAACGTTGCGGCTACAGTAACGTCCCTCCTTAAGTAGCTGTGATAACAGCCATTCAATAAAGCAGAAGTTGAAAGTAAAGGTTTCTGGACGCCATAACAGTCTCGTCTTAAAATGGTGAACTATGCCAGGTATTGCAAAACAGCCCTGCCTCGGCGCCTGCTATCTCTATTTACTGGATTGCCAGCCGTTGATAACCAGTTAACTCCTCTGTTCTTAAAGCCAGTTATTAGTCAATATTATTTTGAAATCTTTATTAAACAACAGAGAATATACACAAAGTACATTATCAAAGCACCCCAGATGTTTTAACTATACAGAAAATTCTGTCAAAACCCACACAGGTCAGACAAGCAAAAAAAAAGCCCAAACCAAATTCTGTGCTTGAATCTTGCCTTGAAATAAGCTATGCAACTCATACATTCAGTTAAAGTAAATTGTCCTAAGAGCGTGCTGATCTTAGGTTTAACTCTTGAACTTCAGAGACTTGACATTCAAATGAATTTTCATTATCTTAAGAAGCCAGGAAAGACTTGACCTGTAAGAACAAGTGTATATATTTGATGCATTAAAAGAAAAGCTAAATCATCAGGTTCTTCCCTTTTTTGGGGAAGAAATGAATTGTTACTGTACAGCCTGCAGTGCTGTTCTGCCTTCACGTGTAATTTCTGACTTGAAATGCTTCTCAGTATAGCAGATGGCTGTGCTTCCAAGACTTGCAACTTAATACTAGGTAGAACTGAGTAACTTAATTACTCAAAAATAACAAGTAGTTAGGAAAGGTAACTTCTGGAATACTTTACAAGTTACTTCATTCAAGAAAAATGAATTTTCCTTCACTAGGTAGCTCTTTCCTAGGAGGAGAGGGATTGTCTGAAAGCTAAGCCAAAGATTTGGTAGCACTTTCAGCATGGTGCTATACCCACTGCCCCAAGCTGAAAGGCGAGCTGACCTTTTCATATGCTGGGTGGTAAAGGGAGTTTGGTGGAGACAACACTGGTGGCCTTTCAGTGGGGCAAGTTAAAGTTAGCAGGTACGAGTGTGGTCTTGTTCATAAGTCAACTGCTAGTTTCCATGAGGATATAACTTAACAACAAATAGCTCCACAACTGAACATTGTGCCCCCTTTCCCAGTTCATATAGAGCTATTTAATTGGGAGAATTAGGTTTCGCTTGAAGGAGTCATTCTTCAGTTATCTCAAATTAATGACCCAGAACAAGATGAAGAAAATGGTTTATACAGTTTGCTAGGAGGGCACTGCTTTTTTTTCAATCTTAGTAGTCTGGTTGGGGCAGTGGGGGAAAGTTTAAAGTGTCCCAGGTAGTGAAATAAGTAATGTTACTGTTCTGCTTGGAGTGTTGGGGATGGGATGCTCCAGCAGAAGAATTTCATTGGGCATTTACTTCCTAAGTCTTGCCTTTCCTTGGAATTTGCAAACACCATTTTGACTCAAATGACCTATTTACTCCTTTGTTTCCTCAAATGGCTGTTGACTCTCCCTCCCAACTCTTAGAAGTGTCACTTCATGCATTTAGAACTATGTACAAGGTTCAGTTAGCTCTGCATTTATCAGATGTGTTGTGCTCTGTCCAGGAAGAGCTTAGAATGCAAGGGGGGCATAAATAGCTATAAAGTGACTGCAGGAATTTTCGAAGGACATCATGGCTGACATGGACAGTAACATTCTGTGAACTATTTAATGAGCAGTATGGCAGTGTAGTCTGACTGCTAGAGCTGCCAGTGTATTGCAGCCCCCACAATTGCCCCTCTTCTAAAAATAACTAATTTTCCCCTGAATTGTGAGGATGAGGTGGGGTTGTTTTTTTTTTTTTTTGATGGAAAGCAAAAAGCCTTTTCTGCAGCTATGTAGTTTCCCAAGTCTGAAGGAGCCTGCATGAACCCCAAGGAAATGCCACATTAGAACTTTTAAGAATGTAAATTGATTAACTTTTAGCTATTACAGCAGAAGAAAAGCAGATGACGAAACATTTAATAACTTACCTTTTCAATCAGGTACTCCTGTTTAATCTTATCATTCTTAAAATCTTCATTAACATCCAAAACTAAAATGGGAATCTCTTTAAGGTTGTCAAAATCAACTCTGTTAAATGGAAGAACATCATGGTAGTAAAAATGGTATAAAATACTGTACATAAAACAACCCGGCTCTTCCAGTTGCTTTCCAAGTCATCCTGAGGGTGCAGCATTACTCAGATTACCACATGCACCTGAGATGTTAATGCTTGATGCCTGTGACTGTAATATACATCCCTAGTCAAGTCTGTCCTTAATTACTCTTGTATAACCCAGTCAACATTGTGTCACCATAACTTTCATGTATTTCACAAATCTCACTCAGAATTATTTGCTATTTTTATTGCACAAGTGTGTGTGGGGGGAGATAAGTTTATGCTTCATATTTCCTTTACGTCATTCTTGCTATGGAATCAAATATCAGGAACATGATTTTGATAAGAGGGAGTATTTTTTAAAATACCAATTGCCATTTGTCTCCCCCACCTAGTTAACTGCTAGTCCATTTACTAAGGTGTCGTTTTAAAGCTTCCTTTTGCAGGGATGACATCTTTAACAGGCTATAATGCCTCAGATATAAGCAAGACCATTTTGGCTACAAGTTAGGAGCAGGTGGGGAGCAGTAGTTTTGCAACTGGATGTATTATTCTCATAAAGCAGTTGTTATTCTCTCTTCTGTGTGAAAAGCATGTCTAAAATGCAGTAAGTGTGCTGAACAACATTCTTGACTTGTGTTTGCAGACTTAAGTGTTCCTATGAAAAACACAGGAAGTGCTTGCTCACAAGTTTGGAATGGGTACACAATGTAAATATTCCCAAAATTCCACAATATGCAGTGCCTTCTTGTCTCATAAGCATTTGGGTTATCCTACATGAAACTTAGGAAAGTAGATGTGACTGATAACATACTTTTCCTGGAATTGTAATGCTTCCCATTCAGTAGAGTATTTCAGGCTTCTCCAGGCGAAAAATCTAAAATCTGTTTTCACTTTTAAAGATTCCTTACATGGGAAAGCTAGTAAGTGTCATTAAGGAAGTTGGGGGGAAGGTATGCAGAGGTCACTTAGTCACTGACCGGGCTTTTTGTTTGTAACAAAACCTGACAAAAGCCTTTCTGATCATTGTTTATTTTGAAGCTAGGATTAATATTTAAACCTTGTTGAAATACAGTCACCCTAGTTTAAAGGTAGTTAGGACCTTGTCCTCCCTTACACTGGAACTGGAAGCTGTTAAGTAGGTAACTTACCTGATCAGCCACTGAACAAGATATCAACTCTATCCTATTCAGATGTACTTCCAGTTAAGAAAACTCATATCCTTACTGGAGTTAGAGCTACATAGCCTTTTGGTTGAAGCTAATGCTTAACAAAGGCTTTAAATGAGACGAATTTCCATCTCTCTGCAATTTTAACTTTCCTGCAAAGAGATGACCTTCTCTGCATATAACATAACCATAGTAATCGCATCTGTTACAAGAAACCTAGAGTAGGTCTAAAGATAAGTCCTTCCAACTGTGCCTGAGTGAAGCTAGACATAAGCCTTGGTTTTATCCCTAATCAACTTTAGCATAAGGTAGAAAAGAGCCTTGTCTTTAAGTTGAAACTTGCCTACAGAAAATGGGTTTGTACCTCATAGTCCTTTCATGAAGCCAGGTTTCATGTTTATAGTGGAGGTTTTCCAAATACTCAAGTTCAATTCCTTGTTCCTCCTCTCTTCCTCTCATCTGTAGCCTTTCCATGCATTTCTGAAAAAAAGTAAAAGCTCTGGACATCAATTGTGTTGAAGGCTAAATCAGCTAAACAGATCAAGTGGTCCTTAAATCAGGATAAGTGCTCAACGTTAGTGTACATTAATTTTAAATGCTTGGCTGAGCATAAGTAAGTTCAAACTAGAATAATTTTTCTTTAAAAAAAAACAAACTCGAGCCACTTTAGCTAATGTTAGTAGTTCTTATTAAAATTATCTTCAACTCAAGAATGTATGAAAAGGGAAATCAAACTTCATTTAGAAGTTCAGTTTCAGCCTTGGATCCTTACTGAGTGGTGGGTGCTAGCAACTGCAGCATTTGCTGACCTCAAAATAGCATCTCAGAAGGCAGGCTTTTTAATTTGGTCTTTGAATGAAATCTGAACTTAAAATAGGCTTCCCATTCATTGGGGGGGGGGGGAGCTAATTCACTGTTAGACAGTGCAGTATTATGTCATGAATACTTCAGGTTTTGTACCCTCTTAAGCTTCTAAAAACAAAATTTGGAGCTGAAAATTGTGAACATACCTGAGGTGTGGTTCTTAGGTAGATCATGCCATCCAGTTCTATATCTGATTCAAACTGATTCAAAAGCCATGTGTGCCAGTCCTGATAAATAGCCCACTCTGTTTCATTAATATTTCCAGACTCAAACAGGTTAGAAGCAAATACATATCTGCAATGGAAGACATTAATCTCATGCCAGGAATGACCGAAGCAAACTACTTAAAACACTTCTCAGTAGAATCAGAATCATGGTACTCAAAAATAGCAGCTGCCCACCTCCTACATCTGTAAAATACAGATGTTGAATCAAACCTGCTCCTCGCAGATGATAGTTTAATATCATTGTTTCCCCAGCTCCGTGTGAGCATAAATATCTGGAGCTTTTAATCTGAACTTTAATTACAGTGTGAGAGTAAGTACCTGTCACTGTATACAGATCTCTCAAAAAATTGCACTGGATGTTCTGCTTCATGTAGCTTGGCTGAGACAGGTTTTAATTGTGCCCTTACTCGGCTCAAGCAAGCATAAGTCTGGAATGTATAAGCCCATCTTGTGGGTTTATCATAGAGCATTTGAAGTAGATTTCCTCCACTCTTCTGAGATGTTGAAAGTTCCTAGGGGACAAGAGAGAAAACTTAATACCAGCATATTTGCAGGACTTTATTTTTCATGATCCAGAATTTGGTGCATTGAAATAAGAATTAATGCCATTTTTTTTAGGAAAATGCTTAGGCACAGAAATAAAGATACTTGTTTCTCAGCTGATGGTAGTCTTTATGACAGCTTCTTTAAAGCAGGTTGATCAGTGAGTTGGAGACTTTAATGTCATTCCTGTGGGGTAGGGATGGTTATTTGGAATATGCATTCAACAGCGTCTTCCAAGTAGCCTTTACAATTTCTGAGTGGTCAACTGGTATGATAGCGGGGATGACTCCAGATGCTCTAGACTCAGAATAACTGAATTTTGGGATGGCTTCCTGGCCAGTCACTGCTGTTTCTTCCATGCCACATCTCCCCAAGCTTCCCAACTCCAGCACCACCTACCTCATACTCATCTTCTGCTGTCTGGATGTTGCACCACTTGGCGATGGGTTCCGGGATGATCTCCCACTCATCGCTGTGTTTTTCTAGTAGCCTGACAAATGTTGACTTTCCTGCAGCTGCAGGAGATTTGAAAAGGGAGTAGGTTAGGCTGGTCTTACTAATAAAGATACAGTGGCAGTTGTGAGTTTAAGGAGGCTGTAGGCAGTGTTTGAGGCCCTGTTTGAGGGCCAGAGCTGCTTGGGGTGCTGGGAGCGGGGCTGGGGAAGAGCTGGCGGGGCCGCCTGTACGGTGCTAGGCGCACCTTACGAGTAAACAGCTCTTATCTCCAGCGCCAGAAGGCCGAGCCTCGGCCGGGCAGCAGATAAGGAGCCGGAGGAGGATGCGCCTCCATTTTAGGAGCCGGCTGAGCCGCGGGCGGGGCTTGGCGCGGCATTGTTTGGGAGCCGGGGGGGGGGGGGGGAGAAGGAGGCTGCGCGCCTGCGCGGCGCCGGGCTGAGCGGGGGAATGGCGCCGCGCATGCGCGGCAAGCCAAGGCGGGCAGGCGGGCGGCTGGCGCAGTTGCGGGCTGGAGCGCCGCATAGGGGCCGGGCGCGCGCGAGCAATGCCCCTCGGTGCTTGGGCAGATGGGGGCGGAAATATTTCCCGAGCCAGGGAAAGACGGGGTGTTTAAGCGCTTTAAGCCCACCCCCACGGCCGGTAGCCGCGAACGGGGACGCCGCGTCCTCGCTGTAACGGACACCGGGCGGCGGGGTTCCCCTTCTCCTCCCCCGGGCGATGGCGCCAATTCCCCAGTGTCGCCAGGAGCGGGTCTTGGCGCGGCGGCAGCGGCTGAGCTGCTCCCTCAACAAGATCCACCCTCGCCTGCCCGGAGAGGTGGGTGGAAAAGGCTCCTCGGCCCCGCTTCCGCAGCATCTCCGCCATCCACACCGCCTCCGGGCGCTCCCGTCCCGAGATGTCCCGTCTCCCTCCACGACTTCCCTCCCCCGCCGCCGGGCTCACCGATGTTCCCCTCGATGGAAATCTTCCTGAGGCGCTTCTGGAGGCTGGAGTCGAGCGAGCTAGCGGGGCTGCGGCAGTGCCGCTTGGCAGGGGTGGACATGGCGGCAGCTGACGGGGCTCTCCCGGCTGCTCTGGCGCACTTTAAGTGTCCCGCCAGCCGAGGGGCGGGATGGCCGCCTCCCGCCACCACTCCCCGGGAAGAGGCGGAGGCGCTGCCCCCTCCCCCGCCGCGGCCGTGCTCCTTCCGCCGCCGTTCCCGCCCGGCTCGCGGAGCCTGCTAAAGGGGAGGGGGGGTTCAGCGAGTGAAGCCACGCAGAGCTGCTTTGTTAGGAAGTCACCGTAAAACGGTTCTGCTTACTGATATAATTTGCATTAAGTTGCAGGAGTTAGTTGTTTATATCTAAATCAAACTTGAGACTATTTTTATTTTTTTTTTATGTGTGTATGTGTGTTGTTTTTCAAAAAGCCTCCAGTTCTGGGGAGGTAGTTGTTAGCGGTCCCAATTGGTATCTGTTAAACGAAACGTTTTACACAGTTACGTGAGGGATGAGGCCACGTAGATTTGCAGGCAGTGAAATGGCTCATCCTCAGGCTCAGTTCTGGTATTGACTGAAAGGGTTGGACGCTGCTCTGAGCAGCTTTGCTTCCAAAATTCCTGTGTCAATGCTGGCATGCCTGGGGTGTATTGGAGTCTGCTTTAATTCCTCCGTGGGCAAGTTGAAACATGAACCGCTTGTTATTTTCAGGGTAAAGACGGGATGGCTGACTAGTAGATGATAGTTTTTATGAGTAGAACTATCTGAGGCTGTGTGACCACAGTTATTACTGTAAATTCCTGTTGCCTCTATAATAATGAGATTCAGGGTGAAGTCTAGCTAGGTCTGGTGTGTTTGGAGGAGATGGGAGGGAGTTATATTTTCCTTTCTTTTATGATAATTGTGACCCATGTCTCTTCTTTCCCCGTCTCCTCCAAACACACCAGGCTTCAGTGACCGAAGCGAGCAGATTGTGTCACGTGGGGTAGCGTCAGCATTTGAAGCTGGTAAGTGCTAGTTCCCACACACCTCTTTGTTCAGCTGAACTCCTCACTCTCCGTGCAACGCGATGCCGTGCTGGTGCGAGGCGGGGGTGTGTGTGTGGGTGTGTGTGTGTGTGTCGGTAACGGGAACCGGGGCCCCCCCCACTCCCGCGCACCCCAGTGGACGGACGGATGGGGGGGGGGGGGCGGCGGGGAAAGCAGTGAGGTCTCCCGAGCATGCGCAGTGTGGAGAGCGGCGCATGCGCGCAGGCCCGACCCGCGCTCTGCGCGGGAGTCCGCGCCGTGGCTTTGTTCAGATAAAGGGGGGCGGGAATGGTAAGGCAGACGACGCATGCGCACAAACTCCCGGGGGTGGCGGTACCGCGGTAGAGTAGCGAGGACGCATGCGCAACTTGGCGGGGAACGTTTGCGTCGCGGTTGTGTGTCCCCGGGGCGGAGCAGCGCCGTGGAGCTACAGAGCATGCGTAGGTGGGTCCCTCGGGGGCGGGGCGGCAGCCCGCCGGGGGGGTTGTGCGCATGCGCCCCGCGCCTTCCCCCCACTCCCCCCACCCCCCTCCCCCCCACACCCCCTTGCCAGCCACGCCGAGGCCCCACTCGGGAGCCGGTGAGCAGCGCGGGCAGCCCGCGGGCCTCGGCGGCCGCTCGCCGCTCTCCTGCCGCCCGCGGGTGCTCCGTGCCTCGACGGGGACTGCGAGCCGTCGGGCCCACCAGAGCAGTGCCTGGGGCTGGGGTTCTTTGTGCGGCGGAAGGCCCTGCCCAGCGGAAGCGGGAGTACCCGCCGCCATTTCCTAGCGCGCTCTCGCCACAGGCTCGCCCGCTCGCTGCCGCCTGACTGGGACTAGGCGCTCTCCGGACAGCGGATCAGGCTCGGAGCCCTAGAACCACCGCGGAGCCCCACCATGTGTGCGTGCGGGGATGGGGCTGGGCGCGGGCCGGGGGGGCGGGCCAGGCGTGCGCCGGGCGGGAGCGGCTCCGTGTGTGTGAGGTGGGCAGCGGTCCGAGGTAGAGGAGGCTTGGGCGCGGGGGGGTAGAGGCCAGGGGGGCCGCCGGGCGCTCTGAGGGGGTGCGGGTGGCGGCCGTGCTGTGCGGAGTCTCAAAGAGCCCGTTTTGGTCTTCTCTAGCAACCACAGAAACCGAGACGGAGCCGAGCCTCACCCCCAATGTGATGCTCAACACGGAGAGCAGCGAGGGTTATGTGGTGAAAGTCAGGGGGCTGCCTTGGTCCTGCTCCACCGAGGAGGTGCAGAGGTTTTTCTCCGGTAAGCAGAACTGTGGGGAGATAGGGGTGTGGGAGAGGGGTTGGGCTCTGGTGTCAATTCTTGGTTTCTCCTGGGGACACTGTGCCAGTGGGAATGCTGTAGTGATCAGTTCCAGAAAGCATTTAGGGCACTTTAGTACCTGGTGAAGTTCGGAATGCAACAAGTGCCTCACCTAGGATGCAGTATGGAAAGCTATGCTTTTGCTAGTGTGAGCTAGACACAAGGAGTTTAGTGTGTGAGTTGCAGGGATAGCCACGACTGCCTTATCTTCTTGAGCAGCCAGAAGAGAGAAGCTACCATTTTAAAGAAAACTTCAGAATTCTTGGTTCAGGTTGAACTAAAAGAGTTTAGTACTCACTGTTGTCCTAATGGGCTCTCTTGTGTTAAGTTCTTACTGTGTTGTGTATTTCCCCCAAATTATTAGTGTCCTGCAGTAATAAATAGTGGTGATAAATACATGATTTCTGCAACGACCGGAGGTCTTAACTTTGCTTCAGGAGTTTGGCATGTTGGTTCTGATTTAGTGCATTATGCTTATACTGTTACTACTCCTTATTTTGCTTCATGCTCACGAGAAAGTCTTAAGTCATGATCAAAAGCAGATAGCATGTTCAACTTGACTTGAGACAGCAAAGCTTTGGAAACATAGCTAATTTGCATTTACGGTTAATGTTTTACTAATCTTCAGTCTTGACAAGAAGGGCAACTTGATTTTAGTTAGTCCCTTAATTTATTGGTCACTATGAAAGTTACAACAGGAATACTGCTGATTCTGTCTTAATATAACTTGTTAGTTTTTTCCTTGTCACGATGTTCCTGCAGTAATGAAATCAATTCCTGTCTTCCTGTTTCATTTTCAGATTGCAAAATTCTGAACGGGGCTTTGGGTATCCGTTTCATCTACACCAGGGAGGGCAGACCAAGCGGAGAAGCATTTGCTGAACTTGAGTCAGAGGAGGATGTGAAATTGGCACTGAAGAAAGACAGAGAAACAATGGGACACAGATACGTTGAAGGTTTGACTCAGTTGGCCTAGTACCTGACTAAATGTGTTTTGTGCTTGAGGGGTGTTTGGCCATTTGCTTTTCTGTTTCTTTAAAATGCATGTTGAGAGGACGAATGGACTTGTATATCATAAGTTGACTAGTTTCAAGGCAAATGACTTTTAAAACTTATGCATATTCCAGAATGCATTAATTCTAAGTGCCTTTTACAGTTTTCAAGTCAAACAACGTTGAAATGGATTGGGTTCTGAAGCATACTGGTCCCAACAGCCCTGATACGGCTAATGATGGTTTTGTACGTCTTAGAGGACTCCCATTTGGCTGTAGTAAAGAAGAAATCGTACAGTTTTTTTCAGGTATGTGGGAGAAAGTAGTAGCTATAGCATTATTGGTCTATGCTTTAAAAACCAACAAACTACGGATTGCCCGATAGTACCTCCAACGCCATACTGATGGGTATTAAAACTAAAGCAAATCTTCATTAGTTATCTGGGTTTGAGAGGTCAATTCCTGACGTACTTGGTTGTCACGTAATCAAGAGAACTCCAAAAAGCTGCTCTAATTTATACTTGGTGGGACATACTGTTCCGAGTAAGGATAGCATAAAACAAGTGTCTTGGCTTCTAAATGGGAAGTGAACAATTTAGATGGGAGGTTATTTCTTCCACCCACAGTCTTAGCTGGTTCATGCTGTTCAGTGAAAGATGTAGGACACCCTTACTGCTGGGCTCAGTACAAGGAGCAGGATCTGTGGAAGGGCATGCATCTTACAACCTCCTGTAAATGTAGCTATAGTATTGAATAAAGTTTCAGGAAGAAAATAACCTGCTGAACTCTACCCAAGTAAAGATTTCCCCTCTTCCCTTTCCTGGAGGGGGAGGAAACCCCTTGATGTTGTCTAGCTTAAAGTTTTTTATGGATGAAGAGATACTGTCTTGTACTGACTCATTACCACTTTTTTGCAGCTGTTGTATGTTTTAGGAACTGGAAAACTATTATAAATGCCAAAGAATGAGATCTGTTGATATACCTAGGATTTAACTTGGTAGTATTTTCAAAGTAGTAGTTTTCTAAATGTGAGCGTTAAAATAAGCTGGAATGTTTTGCTATAACAAGATATGATTGAGGTGACTGCTTTTGCTTTAAAATACAGTAGAAATATTTCCAGTTTTACAACTTCAGAACTTGTTTTTTTGTTTTCCAAATCAGTAATATATTGTGAACAAGAGCAAATCCTAAGCATGTGCATTTTAAGTTGTTTTTCTTACATGGTTGATTCAAGCTTTAAAAACTGTTAATGTGCTTAATATACAAAATGTGCCTCTTCTGTTCAGGAACTAGTATTTTTGAAATTACTTCATGATTTTTTTCTTAATTAAGCACTCCTAAAGATAAAAAAAAAAATGCTGAAACTTGATGTTTGCATAAGACTATTTTTACCTGAGTGACTTCTAGTAAAAATACTTGTTATATATAAAGCTGTTTAACTTGCTGTGTTTGAATATAAGTTATCTTAAAAAGTTCATCTTAAATACTTTCACAGAAATGAAAAGGTTTGTAATATGTGAACTTCTTAATGCACCCTGCATTAGATGCCTTATCTGAGGAGTTGTCCCTGACACTCAGAATGTTTCTGTGTTCTGCAGGGTGGATTAAGAATGTAAACTGAATGGTATGTGATCGTGGATCTCTTTGTTGACGTGCTTTTTCTTCTGGTGTTCTAGAGTCAACATACCATTCACTTACAAGTGTTAAAATTCTGGTGTATTTAAAGCTATAAGAAAAACTCATGACTGGGCTTGTGATGTTAATATTGCCCCCCTACTGGGGTTATTTGTCCTTGGGTTGAAGGGTTGGAAATCGTGCCAAATGGGATAACATTGCCGGTGGACTTCCAGGGGAGGAGTACGGGGGAGGCCTTCGTGCAGTTTGCTTCACAGGAAATAGCTGAAAAGGCTCTAAAGAAACACAAGGAAAGAATAGGGCACAGGTGGGGATGGATGGTTGGTTGGCTATGTCACTTTTCTTATGGTAAACAATTAAATCCATATTCTCTCTTCTGAAAGTGTTAACATCTGAATAGAAATAGTATTTTGATCTCTAACTTGGTGTTAAGTAAAGGGATTGCTAATGTGCATATGGCATAGACTGATCTGTCCAAAACAAAAGATAAAATTGGGCTAAGCTTAAGTGTGCTTTGGAAACTGGGTAATAACAGGAGTGCAAAACTGATAGCTTGAAAGTGACAAAGTTGAGAGACTATGGCTTTAACTCCTCAAATAGCACCAATTATGCCTTTAGCTCTAAAGACATGCACAGTATTCTTTCTACCATAAGAAAATGTGATACTTTCTAAACTTGTTTTATAAGTTGAAATGTAACAAATTTTCTTACTGTATTAATCTTCAATGTAATAAGCATAGCTTTCAAGAAATTGTCACAAAGGGTTTTTATTCTATTTCACTTGTGACTATTTTTCATTGAAGCATGCACTTTTTGCCTACGCTGAATCACTGAAGCATAGGCTGGGATCACTAGCACATGCAGAGATTTTTTTGTAGCATCCTGATGGGTTAAAATCTTGGTGGAGACTGGGTTTTTAACCCTCTCTTTACATTGCCACATGAGCAAACCAGTGCTGAGTTGAGTGGACATCAGTCCCTCCTATGTTTTT